ATGCAATTCTAATAATCAGAAGGCCACTTAGTATTACGATCTAATGATATAACTCTTCATTTAAGTGAGAGGTCTTAGGTTCAATTCTCACCAGAGGCGAATTTGAACCACATTATTGATAGCCCATAGCGACACTAAGTCCACCTCTCTTCCCTTTAGTGTATATAATATCGTTTGTTCAAAATAAAAAAAAAATCAAAAGTGTTTTTGCTCAATAAACGGAGAGGAATAGAGAACATGAGCATAGGGCCACAACTTAACATTTGGGGCTTAAAAATTTTGGGCAAAATTGGGTTTTGTAGGGCTTAAAATTAGAAGCCCAAAAAAAAATTTGACATGAAGGCCCATTCTTGAGCCCGAATCGAAAAGCCGAACTATTTCGGTATTACCGAATTTCGAGAAAACTGAAATATTGGTTTGGTTTCGATTTTTTGCCCTCTATCTCAAACCAAACCACCCCTAATTACAAGTAGTATATTTTCGCATTGTCATTTTCTCTTAATTGATTTGCTTTATTAAATATATAAAAGACTATAAAAAAGAGGAGTATGCTGAGTATAAAGGTTAATGCAGAAATCACATCTTAATCATTAGTCTACCGCGCTTGCAAGTGTATTCTCTATAAGTGACATATGCGCGACTTAGAATTAGTACTTGATATTAATCTTTGAACTTTTTAAGTTAGGAGAAGTTTTTTTGAGTATTCGATATTCAAGCAGGAACCCCATGTGTTATAAAATAAGAAGAATGACACAAAAAAAATATATCATTTGCTTCACTTGTATTATGACATGCATAGTATTGATTAAATACCCCGTACTTAAAAAAAGGATAATGCTAGGAAGACCAAATTTTAAAACTAAATTTGCAAATCAAATAATGTCACTAATAGGAAATAAGCACGTTAATCAACACTTAAGTAATAATCGCCACTTAGTACTAAGGTTTTGTGATATTCCTCTTCGCTAGTAAGTGAGAAGTATTAGATTTGATTCTTGCCAAAGGCGAATTTGAACTACATTATTGTTAGCTCATTGTGAGGCTTAGCCACTCCCCTATCCATTAGTGTAGATAATTGATAGGTATTTTTACCACCTGTGGAAATAGGGTTAAAATCACTGAAGATACTTGCAAGAATACAAGGTACTTGTAGTATAATTGCTCACGCAAGGTTGTTGTCCCCAAAGATTGTTTGATTAACTTGTAATTAAACTAACTCTTAATTAATTATTAAAACAGATTTTGTATCAAAGATTTGAAAAATTTTGAATTCGAAAATATTAAATTAACAATTAAAGAAATTTAGAAGTTTGAAAATAAAGGTAGCAAAGAGAAAAACGTTTTTTTAAATTAAAATCAATTTAGGGAAAGACTAGGGTTTAGCCATCACCAATAACAATCCTATGTAATTTTACCAATCACTTATGAATTTCCACATACATGCTTTGAAGGTTAGGTTTTCCTCATGCATATTTCCCTTGTGATGTTCAAGCAAAAACATATATCTAACATGCAATCTGTCTATGATGTTTAGATCAAATATAAACATGCAAGACTCATTAAGCTTTATGAAAACCCTCTGAAAAACCATGCAACCCTTAAGAGCGTGATGTTTGCCTTAAGTGAACTTACAACTATTAATCACAAGAAGCCCTCCTCAATTTCAGGGTGATGTTCCAACAGAAATTGCATCAAATTACTTGTCCAAATATCCTAATGGTGATCAATCATTAAAATATATAGATAGTTTAATCACAGTGATTAATAATTCAAAGCAAGCATACATCCATTCATAAGCAAATTAATAAAATCACATATTCACGCTATGGCTCATGGCCCAACCCTTGCAAAAGGAATCAGTTACGCATACTCATACTAAAAATCAAAGATAAATATCATTAACTAGAAAAAGATTGAAAACACATTGTGGATAAAAAGTCTGAAATTCTCCAAAGCTCTGCTAAGTTCTCTCCATGCTCCGTAGAGAACCCTAATGGCTAAAAAGCCTTATTTATACTACTCCCAATTAAAACCCTCATAGAAGGGTTTTCTAAAAACTAGGAAATAAGATAATAGAAGGATAACTAAAAATTACATTCCTATTTTGACTAGAAAATCTGCCTAGCAAAGGAGAAGCCACATTTCTGGACCTTCAGGACTTCAAAATAGGCCCAAAATGAATCAAATTAAAGATTAGGACCTCCTCTTCAAGTTCCAAGAAGAACCGAAGTCCAAAATCCATCATTTTCCAGCCCAAAACTCGCAAACAAACTTTGTAGCCCAATCAATCTGCCAACACTGCACGCTGGCCATAAATTAATTCGCCATGAACAGATACTTCAAGATAAAATTATGAAATTTTAATACACCCTTATTGACAAACTCACGAAGCCGCTCCAATTAGAATGACTCAAAATTCCACCGTTTGATCACTTTATGCTCCGAACAAGTCTGCACGTCCTATATTGGAAATACATAACAAAGCATCAAAATCTCATCAAAATAATAACCAAAATATACCAAGAATAGGGAATAATATATAGTATAAAATCGACTCATCAATAATATTGTTTGTAAAAAACATAATAATCGAATCATTCACAACCACATTGTTCGATTTAAAAATTTGGCCCTTCATAACATCACCTCTTAAAAAAAAAAATCTCTCTAAGTAGGACATTCCTCACATCCTCACAAACAATGCGAGGAGCATACATTAGTCATGAGTTAGATGGAGGTTTGGAAGAAATTCAGTGGAAAACTAACGAAAAGTTTTAAAAAACTTTTAGTTTTAATGAAAAAGGACAAATCAATGTGTAAGTGAATAGTAACAAGAAAGGTAAAATGTCATTTTTCGTTAAAAGTAAACAGTACTGGAAGTGTTTCGTTAAAACTTCCATTCAAAGGAAAACTAAGAAGGCTTCTTTTTCTGGTCCAATCTGCAAACTTTAGTTTTGTCTTCTTCCATGCTTAATTCCATAGGAGATGTCAACATTGGAGACCTCAGCCATAATAACAACAAGAAATTTCCACAATTTCATTAACTCGTGATTTTGATCGTTTTGTTATTTCGAGTGTGGTGCATGCAAGTGCAAGTTGTTTGGATATAAATTTGAGTGGGACGTTTATGGTTAAAACCCGAGTTTTTGGTCCAAATTATCTCCAAAGGGGGAGTGGCGGGCATGCAGGTCAAAAGAAACATAATAGAAAGATTCAATGCGGGTGGGCTCATAGCAAGCCTAGTTTTTACGGTTGATATGCACAAGCCGTTGTCACCATTGGATGTCGCGCCTCCTGAATTATGATCTAGTGATGCGTACCTAGCTACATCTTTTTTTAATCTAACGGCTCAATCCAATTTAATCAATTATAACGATAATAAAAAAGATTCAACAACTCACATTTAAATCTAACGGTCAAAATAATATTACTAATTAATCTAAATTAGATTCAATACCAAAACTTCTCCAAAACTCTATAAATACCTGTCAATTTTTTACTTATCCATAAAAAACTCAAAAATATAAACTTTTTTTTTATATCAAAATGTTTGTAAAAAAAAAAAAAAAAACACCAAAGATTATACAAAAACTAATTCCAAAATAACGAGCAAAAACAAAAAAAAAAAAATCAAAAAAATCAAAGAAATATAAAAATTTAACAAATTATAAAGTTGAGCATGGAAAGCTCATAAAATGATAAGGGACAAAACCCTTGACTTGGGCAGTTCTAGGTCAACAACTACTTGTACAAAAAAAAAAAAAAAACAAATTTAAAATGCGTTTAGACATCACATTATATATAATTAGTTATATGGGAACGAAGGAGCCAAACTTGTGTCTCGAGCTGATACAATATGGTTCACAAGGCCAACGTTGTTTACATGATTTCCATCATTCTATTGCTATTGTTCTCATCCAAATTAGTCTTTGCCAACGTTTCTGAAAATCAAAAGCACGGTAGTTACTCTCTCTCTCTCTCTCTCATACAATAAATCGTTGTTTGATTAGCATCTATATATGATTTGTAAGTTGTTAACTAGTCAATAATGAAAGTTCATTAGTCACTGCAGATGTAGTAGAAAAGATCATCAGCAGGTCGCATCTGCGTATTGTGAGAAAGATTCCCGTACCAAATCCTTATAATCGTGGGCGATCGCCACGACCACCAGTGCCAGTACATAGAACAAAAAATTAGGGGTGTGCATTAAACCGATCGAACCATATGTAAGTTGGTTTACTTGATGAAGTTTTTATGTTCCGATAAACTTTTTTTTTTGATAGAATTGAAACGTGGGAGAAGTGTAGATGTTTTGAAATATATAAACTTTTCAAATGTTAGACGCTTTTTTATTGATGTGTTGGAAAATGCTTAAACCGGCTCAATCCAAATTTCATTTTTACCTAATCCTTTTGGATTTTTCTTTTTTTGTTTTGCAGCTTGTTTTGCAGGTTCTTACCTTTTAAGTTTTATTTTAGAGGGGTTTGATACTATGTCCGCCTCTCTCTTTTTCTTGTATTTTCTTTTTCAAGAGGGGTAAAGTCTATGTCTTCCCTTTTTCTTTTTCTTGTATTTTCTTTTTCAAAAGGGATAAGGTGTATATCCCTTCCTGTTTTCTTGTATTTTGTTGTTCTTGCTTTATGAAGAATAAGGTTTATGTCCCTCATTGGCTAGGTATAACTTCTTTTTTTCTCATCTCAATAAATTTCTTGCCAAGTTTTCCAAAAAAACGTCTAATTTTTTTTCTCGATGAATTGGAGAGGATTTGAGTCAAATATAATTGACTCCAAACTTCTGATTCCACAACTAAGTTTTAATAGTATATCTAAGCAGCACCATTAATGTATAAGCTATGGGAATGCGGCTTTATTATATCTGAACTTGGTAAACATGATGCATGTGAAATTAGAAGCCAAAAATGAGGGTGAAGGAGAAGATAACAACTTGTATGTCGCAATGAACCTATGCCATACAAGTTGTTCTCCACTCCCTGAGCATGAGTTATTGACAAAGTTATTAATTTACGTTGGACATTGGAGATCGAAACCTCATAACAAATTTCATTTTGAATCTGTTTCATAACTAAAACACGTGATTTGACATTTTTTCATCACGAATAAAGAAAATACATGAAAAGAAGGGGGACATAAACTTTATCCTTCTAGAAACAAAAACAACAAAGATACAAGGAAAAGAAAGAGGGGGGGGGGACATGAAACCTAACCCTTCTAAAGACGAACCTAAAGGTCTAACCCTGTGAAACAGAAACAAGGAACATCAGAAGGTTAAGAAAAAAAAATAAAACAAGAAAGCGAGACAAACTTGTATGCCGAGATGCACATTAATTTGAGAAGCAGAAACCAGGAAAGCCAACATTGTCTAAAAATAAAGCGGCACGGACCACCATCAGAGTGGAATAATGTTATACCAAAGTTGGAGAAAACAAGCTCATAGAAAGTCATCTTTCGAACAAATAAACCATTGCGTTTGAAGAGGCCAAGGAGGATCAAAATAAGTAGATTGGAGAGCAGAAATAACCTTAGAAGAGTCACTTTCCAGCCAAAGACAATGCCAACCCCATTGATATGCAAGCTCTATACCAATAATAAATGATGATAATTCTACACAAAAAGAGTTGTGATGACCAATCCCTTAGCAGAAACAACCAAGAAACTGACCATGGCAATCCTGTAAATGACACACCCCGTCCCGAAGGAGGGCATGCTGGCCGTCACGTGAGAGTAACGTAACCATTTACACAGTTCGGAAGCGTTAAAAAAATACAACTTCTAAGATGAACCACCCGAAGGTGAGTCCTCATTTGGTCCATTCTGTCAGAACACCGTTGAATTTCCTCGTAGTCACCACACCTTTGCAATTCTTGAACCTGGAGGGGCGCAAAACCAAAATTGAGTGGGTCAGTAAAACAAATCTTTTCCAAGTCCAAATACTTCTCAAAACTTTGTAACCCCTCTCCGTAAAACATGTATACTTTCCCAGAAAATAAACATATATACGTATGTATAGATATGTCAATCAAGCTCAAGGGTATGCCAATTATGCTCAAGATATGCCAATCATACTCACAGGTATGCCAATCACACTCACAGGTATACCAATCATACTCACAGGTATACCAATCATACTCACAGGTATGCCAATCAAAGCCTCATAATGATATGTAAGTGCTCAAGTATAAACCATATCAATAACATGTTACTGGCAGCCGGGAGTCACCTAAAGTGACCTGTACGGCTGAATCTAGAGCTCAAATCTCAATCTCAATAACTAAACAACTGAACCTGCCCACGAGTCGGAACCACCTAATGTGGTCTGTACGACAGGACTGGGTGTTACGTATAAATACGCTCTAGTGCTACGATCACGTGAAGCTGGGCGAATAATCGCACGTCACCTACGAGTCGGAACCACCTCATGTGGTCTGTACGACAGGCTATGCACCTAGCTTGGATCCAAGTTGAGCATAAGGTGCGGGGGAGGTGAACATCACGTGAAGGCTGGCCCTGCTCAAGGCGAGCACTAACACCGGGGATCAGGTTATGAGCTCTCTAAGCATCTCAAACTACTGCTGAATGTAAATATGAATAACCTTTACCTAGCACTTACCTGTGCATCCACAGCACCCAATACGCATAAATAGACATATGCATATTTGAATATATAAGTAACGTATATGCAACTAATCACGCATAACCACCAATTATATAAAAGGAATGACATATCACATCTCTATCTCAAACGTATCTCAATCAAATCTCAATCATAAATCATTTGTATTTCCATAGTATTTCAATCGTATTCCAAACGTATTTCATACGTATATCAAATGTATTTCATACGTATATCGAATGTAGCTTACCTGGGCCTCCTCAGCACCATGCAACAATATGCATAATTATGGTAATGCACATATTAAAATATGATGCATGTATGACAAGATATTTAATTCGTATTTCTTTTAAAATACGTTTTCTGGTAAATACGTCAAGCATACGTATATGTATATATACTGAAAAATAACTGCCCACTCACAGATCACATCGACGTCTCGTAGGTCCCTGAGCCTCCCCTAGATTGGTTACATTCTTCTTCTGTATAATTTTCACCTATACAAAAAGTAACCAAATTATCGTTATTTAACGCGCATACACCAAACATTCGTCAATAAATTTCTCATACGTTGCTCGATTTGGGTGTGTGAATATACCACGGTGATCTACACGACGTCACGAACACGTGACAATTTTCAGAACTCAATTTGGAGCTCTCACGCGCCCCCACGCGCCCTGTTCACGCGCTGCCCACGCGGGCGTCTTCTTCCTCGCGTCGCCGGACTGGTTTCGCCGGAGGTGGGTGTTTTGCCGAAATTTCTGGGTAAACTTCAAAGTGTCATAACTTCTTCATTTCTTAACCATTTTCGACGTACTATATATCAAAATGAAGGTATTGACGAGACGAACACATCCATACCTGCCTCGACCCCTAACTCGCCGTGGATTCGCCGGAAAAGCCTCGAAAGCTCCGGCCAACTTTGAACCAAGCTATCCCGACGTCAAAATCCTTCAAACGAAGCACTCCGAGCTTCCTTAGGACCTCACCAAGCTTCCTACAAGCTTCAAAATCCCAAAAACATCAAGCTTTACGTGTGCATGAACAGTGCACACGCACAGTGAAATTGAAATCCATGTTTTCCGAAGTGAAACTCACCTGAAATTGGTACCATCGTGTTCGTGTGGTCCTCAGGAGTACGATGGTGGTCTTAGATCCTTCGTTGGTATAGTTTTAGGGTGGTTTTGTGGGTGGTCAGTGTGAGTTCGAAGGAGAGAGAGAGAGAGAACTCTGAGATTTGTGAGGGAGGAGAGAGAGAGACAAGATGCAGAAATGGGGGAGAGATTTGAGGGATGTGGGATCCTACCCAATCCCCAAATCATCAAGTTACAACATATTTTACGCCCCTTAGTCCCGTTTAAGGACATTTTCATAACTTCACGTCCTCGGAATTAAAATTCCGGGACGGGTTGTGACAGTAAAACTCCTCCACAAATAGCAGACCATGATTTCTTTTAGATAAATCATCTATATTAAGTTTAATCCAAGGAAACCAAGGAGAAGACCAAAGCACATGAAAAATAGTTGGTGCCTTGCAAAAGATAGGTTGGATTCCCAGAAAAGAGATGATACGAGCGTCAAAACCCTGAGAATAACTAGAGATAAACTTCCCACCATGAACGATCCCAGAATTGATAGACATGTACAAACGATGAAAATAGATTGGGCGACCCTAAAAATTAAACTTATTTTGAGCTTTCTAAATAGCCAAAATAGTAGAAAGACATGCAAAAATCCAGAGATTGTGCAACCATTGGGAACAAGGCTTCCGTACGTAAGTATCCCACAAAGTAGCTAGGGAATCTAAAAAAGGCAAATAGTGATAGGAACATATTTATGCGACTTTGTTAGCTTGTTTCTTTGCATTTAGTAAGTTAGTTTCTATTTATTATAGCGATTTAAGCTATTTTCGTGTGTTTGTAGGTTTAAATGACAAAGTTGGCAAGAAAGTGCAATTTGGAGTTATTTAGAGCAGTTTTGGGCTTGGAATGGATAGCATATGCATGGAGAAAGGTGGATTGACGAATTTGAAGCTGAAGAGAGGCTAGGAATGTGCTTAACATCTGAAAGAATTAAATCAAAGACTTGAAAGATAAGGAATCAGCTATGAAGAAGAAAACATTATCCAAATAACCTTATCTTATCCAAACCTTATCCAACCTTATCTTATCCTATCCTAATGTTTTGCTACCTTAATTCCTGCTGCAAGGAGGACATCCAAATGACATTAGAACACCTAAATATTAGGTTTCTAGAAGCCCTATCCTTCTCTTACATTGGTGCCGCACCTATCCCTTTTAGAAGACATGTTTCCTGCTGCAAGGACCATTCCTTGTCCTCCCTGGAATCTGAATGAAAGTGTCATTGTTCTTTGGTGATTTGGAGTCCTAATTCCCCTCATTTTCTGCCCTTGCTATGCCTTCCTTTCTCCCTATAAATACATGATGCCGCATGACTCATTCACGACCCATCATTCACCACAATTCACACCACACATTCATCATACACACAAATCCCTCTAGTGTCGCAGCTTTGCAAGGAGAAAGGAGATGAGAGCCTTAGCCGTGCCATCACATTCAAGTTTGGATTGTTGGAACGTCCTAGGTGTATTCTATCTTTTGCTTTCAATGTTTAATTTAAGTTATCTTTGTTTAAGTGCGAACATGAGGAACTAAACTCATTTTAGCTAGAGGTGGATTCAAAGCCATGAACATATATGTGATATGAATTGATTTCCTCCAGTTATTATTTCGTAAAACATGAATGCGATTTACTTATCTGTTTGATTGATAAATTATCCTTGTGTGTTGATTAAAGGTGCACACTTAGTTTGCATGCATGAATTTGATGCTAGAATATAAGGGAATTTCACCTAATCATTATGTACTTATATTTATAAGTAGTGGAGGTTGCTAGTCACAATTGCGTTAAGTAAATCCATGGCAGGAGTATCATGCAGTTCATAGTACGAATGCCTTGTCAATACTTATGATTTTCATAGAACTTAATGATCTTTGATTGTATCTCTATTATGCT